CCCTCGGCGCGGGGGGCGCACTTTCCCCCCCCCCCCCCCCCCCCCCAACAACCACACACACACGCGTGCGCGCACACACACACACACACACACACACACACGCACACACACACACACATACACACCCTCTGCTACTCTGAACTGGATAAAGGTGTTAAAAAAAGTGAATGAGACAAAAAGTGTATAAGACTGCTGATATTTATTTTCCTTAATCTCTGAATAGAAACTCATCTGGATAATAGCAGCAATATTCACATGTTTAGGAGCATTTTCAACTTCATTTTCATCTTTCTTAAGATTTTAACCTGATTTAATGAGAAGAAGTGTGTTTCTGTTATATTTTGCATTATTTTCTTGTTGCTTGTTTGTTTACATGTTGCATTATTTGTTCATTTAAATAAGAAAATGCTAAATCATGTACATAAACATTGCATAATAAAACACATTTTTCTGATACTGAGGTTTTGAAATATCGTTGCTTAATTGGCATTTATTTTTAATCCTGTTGAATAAAATCTGTAATTAATAAACAGTTATTCTTGGTTTGAGGTCGGTGTGTGAGCAGCGTGTGAAAGAAGAAGGTCTGAGGGTTTGAAGTCATTCCTGACCTGACTGAATGAATGAATGGATGAATGAATGAATAAATGAATGAATGAATGAATAAATGAATGAATGAATTTGAAGTAAAAAAAAAATCCGTTCAGATCTTCAGGAATAATGATCAAAACCACGTGCAAAGATTAATAATTAATCAATAGGAAATTCCGGATTATTTTTTTTTCTTCCATATTTACGATTATTTATACGTGTAGGTTAATTTATGACAATATGCTTTAAATGGTCTTCTAAATTACACTGAGAATAAATAAAAGACATATAATTATTACACAATTTACTCAAAGAATGATAATTAAAACGAAGCCTTAACCATCAATATTATTTTTCTTATTTTACTTTCACACAGTTCACCATTTTTATTTAAATGTTTTGAAAAATAAAATCAGGCCCGCTTTGCACGCGAGTCTTGCTTTGTTTCTTTTTTATATTGAGAACAAAAATTCTTCAAATAATCAGATTTTTTTCTCTAAATAGTATCTGCTTTAACCAAATCTGAACCCCGCTTTTATTTACTTCAATGATTTGTAGTTATTTTATGAATCATAATAAACATATTCAATCTGCTTCAGATTATTTTATTTTATTTTATTTTATTTATTTTTACAGAAAAACAAAATGAAATAAAAACTGCGGGTATTTTTGGCTCCTCTGGATTAATCCCGGGAGGATGCGGAGCGGCTGACCCGGCTCCAGGACCGTTAAAGCGGGCGGAGAGTGACCGACCTCTTCGCTGTAGTATCCGCTCCAGTCCGGAGCTTCGTGGCCTTCCATCTTCACCGTGCCCAGCATGACGGCAGCCCGCAGCCGGAACACGGACCCTGCTGCTCCCGCTCCGGGTGAACCTGTTCCGCTCCCTCAGTGTGAGCCTCCCGGTCCGGATAGAAGCGCCGAGTCGAGTCAAGCGGAGCGGAGCGGAGAGAGGAGTAAAGAAGAGCAGGAGGAGGAAGAGGGAGGAGGTGATGGTGACCTGCGGACTGCTGTGATCCTCCTTCTCCTATAGGTTCAGCCTTCATCACCTCCCTCCTCTCACAACTTCTCATTTCTTCATTCGTTGAATTCACACAGACACTGAGCTACTGCTCCGTTTCTGCAGCAGATAATCACTTTTCCAGCCACAAAGACCCGAGTCTCATGTCCGCGTGGATCATCAGGAGATGACAGAGAGAAAAAATAACATCTTGTTCTAAAATAAACCTGGTGATATTCTTTAGAATATTTCAAACTCGGAAGGTTTACATCACTTCAAACGAAGAGAAAATTCTGACTGAAATGTACATTTAGAGTCCATTTTAGAATGAGCCCAGAGTTATGTTGTCAGTCATTTATTATTATTATTATTATTATTATTATTATTATTATTATTATTATTATTATTATTATTATTATTATTTATTTATTTATTTATTTATTTTTATCGTTGTTGTTGTTGCTGTTCTTCTTCTTCTTCTTCTTCTTCTTAGTTGTAGTTGTTTAATATTTTCATATAAATTCATAGGTAAAAGTTAATTACTTCAGTAGGAATTAAAGCAGCCACAACTAAATTAAATTGTTGTTTCATTTAGTTGTGGCTAAATGAAACAACATTTAGCCTCAACTAAATATAAATTTTTTTTCCAAGGTCAGTCATGATCAGAGGTCATTTTTGTTGGATTTGCTAAAAGTCTTAATGGTCTGTTGTTAGCATGGTCAGAGCCAGTCCAAGGTTGTTTGGGGCCCTAAGCTGTTTCATTTGGGGCCCATTCTCTGTGAATCACTGACCTTTTGTGATTCATCTTTTCTTTTTCTTTCTATGTTTTTTATTTTGCTTTCAAAAGCAGTTTTAGATCTGGTTTGATGATCACTGGCCTATCTATTTGTACATATTTTACCATCTGTGACAGAAGCAGCAGTATAATTTCAATTGTGACTTTATGATCATTTCCATGTGGGTCTGTGGTAGAAGTTGTATGTTTGTCCTATGCATGCGGCCCTTAGCAGTAGCAAAGTGTGCTTAAACCTTGGGCCGGCTCGTTGCATCATTACTTTTGACTGATACCCGACTTGAAAATATCCAGTCCAATAAATATCAAGATTTCATATGATTTTTTTTTTAAATCTCAGTTTCACAGTCAGTTTAAAAAGTCACTAAGTTCAAAAATCAAGAGAACAAAGTTGCTTCAGAAGTTTAATTCCTGATCAAACAGAGATCGCTGTAAATAATAATCTTTAAGTTTATTCATGAGTTTAAAATGAAACAGCAGTTTCACTTCAAACAGTTTGAAGGAACCAATAAGCTGCTGCTCAGGGCCCCATGAAGGGCCGACAGGGGGCCCCAACAGGACTAGGGCTCTAGTGCTCAGAGCAGATCTTAAAAGTAAAGTCCCATTTGAAGTAAAATTCACCAAAAAATGTTCCAAAGTTTCCTGAATTCTGAATAATTTATGATTAAAATGTTTAGTTAACATTTTATTGAAGACATAACACAACTGACAAATTTACGTATGACATCATGTTAACAGCTATCATGTTATATGATTAATAATTGTTGTGGCTTCACATTTCACCTTCAGTGTCTCCAAACCCGATCTAATAAAACATTTGTCAGTTTTTTATAATTGAAGGGAAAAACAACAAATCCAACTGATATAATCTGAGTTTGTGTTGATTTCATAGAGAAAAGAAAAATCAACATTCATCCAAAGATATCTGTTAGAAATGAAACTGAAGTGACTGATTATCTCTCATGTGGGGAACTGAAGGAATTTACTGCTAACATGTAAACACATGCTACAAAATCAAATATCGTTGATCAGAATGAGACGTCAGGTACGGTCTTCACCGCCAGTCAACCAGAGAAACACGATCTCTGTCCTTCCTTCACCATGATGATCTCAGCTGCCTGAGAGAGACTGAAGGAACGCAGCTGGAAAAACAAAGATCTCTAAGAAGTAGGTTTTTCAGTTAAAAGTAAGAAAAAATGTAGAGCTGGAATGTAGATGATGAAGATTATTTTTATTATTGCTGACAGAATTTTTTTTTTTTTTTTTTTGCTCTGGTTTTTTTCCAGTGTAGTGGTTTAAAAAGCTGCTGATGGTGAAGTAACAGAGTAGAACAACCACTCACTGTTCACCATTATCTCACTGGATTAACTGGATGAGCTGGAGGCTTAAAGGACACTCTCACCAAAACACTGAGTGGGGGGAGGAAGAGGAGGAAGAGGAGGAAAAGAAGAAAGAGGACAAGGAAGAGAGGAGAACAAAGGCTGCAAGAGAGAAGTTTATTTCTGGCTGTTTGTCCATCAGACCCTCGGCCCACCGGGCCTTCAGGACGGAGCAGACCCTGATCATCCTGGAGGTTGCCATGGGTTACCCAATGGAAGATTCATCCTTTTTTAATCAATCAAGTTTATTTGCAGAGCACATTTTAGAAACAAGGCAGTTCAAAGTGTTTTACATCATGAAAACATGAAGAAAAAACCCCATCATGATCACATCATAGTGAAAACCTGTTACATTTGATCAAAATCATCAAATATGTTGGTCAATGTTCCATTTATTATGGTTCAAAAGCAGCTCTAAACAGGAGGGGTTAGTCTGGGTTTAAAGGAACTGAGTGTTTCAGCTGTTTTGCTGTTTTCTAGAAGTTTGTTCCAGATTCGTGGTGCATAGAAGCTGAATGCTGCAGAACCATGTGTGGTTCTGGTTCTGGTTCTTGAATGACATTAAACGATTTCTGTCAGATTAAATCTCATTCTTCAAACACCAATGAAGACGTTACTGAAACCTTGACACCAGGTTGACCCGGACAGCCCCACCTCGCCCCGACCCGGAAGCGGTGACGACATGGCGGCAGTGAGGAGGAGGAGGAAGATCCTGCTGGTGATTCTGGATTCAGTGGAACTCGTTGGGGGTTTCGGTGTGACTCATAGGAGTGTAAATTCTGCGTCCTGTCAGATGAAGAGCTCCTCACTGATAATTATGTTGTTACCGTAGAGACTGACTCACCTGGCCGTCTCTCCCAGACTGACAGGCTCCACAGCCTGACAGCGCCTCCAGCCTCCAGTGAGGGAAACGTTCTTTTATTTAAGTTTGGTCCCTCAGCGGTGAACAAGTCATCATTCTTGTGTTCTTGATTTACTCATAAATAATAAAACATAATCAGTGTTAATAATTGTATCGATGGGATCCTTTTCTATGCTCCATGATGCTGTTTGGATGTTGGCAATAACTGTCAGAACATAGCACTGCAGTGTGCGTTTGTGTGTGTAAGAGTTCTGGTTAGGTCAAAGGTTACGCTGTGTGTGTGTCAGCTGCTCACCTCCAGGTGACCTGTACCTGTTTCGGAAACAACAAAGGTGAGTTTGTGTTACAGCCTGTTATTACAGTCATGTTGAGGGCTTTGTTTCTCTGCTGAACTCTTCACCTCTGCCTCATCCATACCAGTCACACACACTCACACACACACGAAACTGTACTGTGCTGTTCTATTTTTTTTTCATTATTTTTAGAATAGCACAGATTGTCAGTGAGTTTTCTGTCCAAGTCAATCCAAAGCTCAGCTCTAACCACAATCCTGCACATCACGTTCTGAGACAATAAAACCAAGACTCAGTCTTTAAAGGGGCAGTTTTCCAGGCACACAGTGCCTTTTTCATAGAACAATCAAGGAACTGTGTTACCTTCAGTTATTACGAAAATGCTGTGTATATTAAATATGACACAAATTTTGATGTCATAATTAATAGCTTGAAAAACTCTTTAAAAAGCCCAGCTCTTTCTGAAACTCCTCTATTAACCCTTAACCTACTGAGAAGTAGCTCCTATAATGAGCTCAGCTGATGGTCAGGTGTTTGCTAATTGCTGCTGGCTAGTCTGAAGGAGCTGAGTGGGAAAGTCAGCTGTGAGGCGGAAGCTCAGAAACGTGGAAACAGTTGCATGCTCAAAGGCGGGGCTATGTCCATCCAGACGTTTTGCATGAATTGTTCCCATGGAGATTAAAGGATTTCTCAAACATGCATGAAAGAATCAGGTATGGTTTTGATGAGAGAATAACATAACATGATGTAAAGTTCAAAAGAGTCGATTTTATATTACAGTACTGCCCCTTTAAAGTTAAGAGTCCAGTTTCATTTTATTTCTAAGAAGAAAAGTCTTCCTGTTCAAACGATGTGTTGTTTTTTTAATAAAGTTTTGGAAATCAAACCTTTTTTAAGATGTGCCTGTTTAAAACATATACCAACATTATTTTTCAGCAGAATGTTACCATGTTTTTCTTCAACACCAGGCTGCTGCTGAACATCCTTCATGCAGTGACAAATCAAACACTGTGGATTCAAACAGAACAAGTTCCTAAAAGTCTTTCAAAAATGTAAACATTCCATCACAAAAAATTCAATAGCTTCTTTTAGTTTTATTTTTTTGTTGTATTTTTTATATTCCCCCCCAGCCCCCTCCCAGCCGTTATCAACAACAGCATACAGAGGTAATCCTTGTTCCACTAATTTCATTTAGCAGCTCCTCGTCCTGCTCTGCTGCTCCATATGATCACATTGTCCAGCTCAGCAGGCAGAGCAGAGCTGACAGCCTGGTGAGATGCTGGCACCTCCTCTCAGTTCTGTCCTCAGGATTAGAAGACAGGGAGAGGTGTAATATTTCCAACCTTTACATGTTTAATTAGCTTTGTGATTCACCAGTTAAAGTGTCATATAAGT